TGTGGAAAAGCATTTGTTACAAGCTCTAATCTTAGAAAACATGAGAAAACTCACACTGGAGAGAAACCATATACATGTCATCTTTGTGGAAAAGCCTTTACTCAAAGCTCTAATCTTCGGGAACATGAGAGAACTCACACCGGTGAGAAACCATATATATGTCATCTATGTGGAAAAGCCTTTGTTCAAAGCTCTTGTCTTAGAAAACATGAGAAAACTCACACTGGGGAGAAACCATATACATGTCACCTATGTGGAAAAGGCTTTGTTACAAGATCGAATCTTCGACAACACGAGAGAATTCACACTGGAGAGAAACCGTATAAATGTCACCTGTGTGGGAAAGCCTTTCTTCAAAGCTGTAATCTTCGAGAACATGAGAGAACTCACAGTGGAGAAAAACCATATACATGTCATCTATGTGGAAAAGACTTTGTTCAAAGCTCTTATCTTCGAGAACATGAGAGAACGCACACTGGTGAGGAACCATATACATGTCATCTATGTGGAAAAGCATTTGTTACAAGCTCTAATCTTAGAAAACATGAGAAAACTCACACTGGTGAGAAACCATTTACATGTCATCTATGTGGAAAAGGCTTTGTTATAAGGTCCAGTCTTCGAGAACATGAAAGAATACACACTGGGGAGAAACCATATACCTGTCATCTATGTGGAAAAGCCTTTCTTCAAAACTCTTACCTTCGAGAACATGAGAGAACTCACACCGGCGAGAAACCATATAAATGTCTTCTATGTGGAAAAGCCTTTGTTCGACGGTCTTGTCTTAAAAGACACGAGAAAACTCACACTGGAGAGAAACCATATACATGTCATCAGTGTGGAAAAGCCTTTGTTACAAGCTCTCATCTTAGAAAACACGAGAAAACTCACACTGGCAAGAAACCATATATATGTCATCTATGTGGAAAAGGCTTTGTTACAAGGTCCGATCTTCTAGAACATGAAAGAATTCACATTGGAGAGAAACCGTATGCATGTCATCTATGTGGAAAAGCATTTGTTACAAGCTCTGATCTGAGAGACCATGAGGGAACTCACACTGCAGAGAAACCATATACATGTCTTCCATGTGGAAAAGCCTTTGTTACAAACTCTGATCTTAGAGACCATGAGGGAACTCACTCTAATTCTAGTGAATGAACATGGAAGTGCCTTCATCAGCCACAGCGCTAATGTGAAACCAACCAGAGGACTCAGGTGGGGGAAGTTCCATGGTCATATTCATTATGGAAATGCCTTCATTTTTAACTTCTCCTTACACAACATGAGTGAACTGCATTTGGAGGAACCCTATATTTACAATCAAAGGGGAAGAGACATTACCTGGCCTCTGGTCATAGGGTGCACAAGAAAATCCAGTGAATAACAGTCTAATCTCCTTAAATGGGAAATGACACAAGAAAATCTTTACAGAAAGAGGTCACTGTAGAATAACAAAAATTAATGCTGGAGAAGTTATTCATTGTTACATGCATGGAAAAAAACTTGACTAGTAGAAAAACCATTGTAGGCATGTGAAGTTTCACACTCTGTATAATAGTGAACGAATGGCAGTCTAAAGTGATTTTTAATTCCTTAGTCAACATGTAGTTTCTCACACTGTACATATAGCATTGCTAAAATCAGATAAAAGGTTAGACTTTGCATTAGAAATCCCTGACTAGGAAAAACCTTTATCAAGAAAGTCTTAACACACAATTTAGATATTAATTTATAATTTTGCCTAATGGCCTATTATAAAAATATAAGAAAGGTAGGATTGTGACATCATCTGGGAATTCTAAATTCAGAATTTTGTAACTGTTTTTTTTTTTTAGAATAGTTCTTGGAACTACATATGAAGCAAAGTTGTTGCTGAAAAATCCATTGTGTTGGTCAGGGCCTATTTCTCATGCATCAATAATAGTTATGATGATTGGATTCAACTAGAAAGCGTCTTTGAATATTAACTGAAAAACAGCACAAGATGATGCGTCATAACTACATATTGTTAACCATGTATGTGGGTCGTAGTGATGAACTAAAGATTGTTACATAGATAACTTGTGACTGAATATAAATTTTCATTTTAAAATGCCATTATTGAGGGACATCTGGGTGGCTCAGTCGGTTAAGCATTCGACTTTGATTCAGGTCATGATCTCACAGCTGAATTCGAGCCCCACGTTTGCGCTCTGCTGACAGCTCAGAGCCTGGAGCCTGCTTGAGATTCTGTCTCATTCTTTCTCTGCCCCTCCCCCACTGTCTCTCAAAAATAAATAAATGTAAAGATTAAAAAGAATAAAATGCCATTATTGAGACAAAGAAGGGTATTACCTTACAATAAGGGGTCCATTCAACAATAGGATATAGTGTGTAAATACTTATTCACTCAACATAGGAGCACCTACATGTATAAAACAAATATGAACAGATGTTAAGGGAGAGAGAGTTATGTAATAGAAGGGGGGCGTTAATACACCCTTCCAACAATGAATGAAACATTCAGACAAAATCAGAAAACATCAACCGTAAGTGATGTTAGATGAGATGGACTTCAGAGAGGTACGCTGCACACGCATACTTCATCCAAAAACAGCAAAAAAACACTCTTTGCAAGTGCCCATGAGATATTCTCCAGAATTGGTCGTAGTTACTGCCTGTTAATACCAGTGCGTATTTTCTTCCTATTTTATCCAAGCCATGTAATTGCCCCTCTTCCTCTCCTGAAAACCCCTTGCTTTCACCCCACAGATGGGACACTTTTCTGGTTACTGCTGGAATTGGTGCTCCCCAAACTGCAATTCTTTAATCCCAAATAAACACTTACCTGCCTTTCACTGTAGCTCGTTTTCAGGTTGGCAGAGGGGACAAGTAATGTTTCTTTTCCTTTCTTGGCCAGGCACTATCTGGGAGAGATGACTTTGGAAGGAAGTCTTACTCTATTCTGGCTCTCCCAGTTTTCAGGATCCCACCCGCAGCTCCAGAGTGAGTGTGCTCACTCTGCCACTGCCTCAAAAGTTGCCACCGTAGACCACCAAACTATTGAAGGAAAATAATTGTTAAAATCTTTTAATATTTATTTTTGAGGGAGGGAGAGAATCCTAGCCAGCTCTGCCATGTCCTCACAAAGCCCATTTTGGGGCCCGAACCCATTAGCCATGAGATCAGGACCTGAGGGGAATTCAGATGCTCAATGGACTGTGCCCACCCAGGTGCCCCGAAGAAAAATAATTTTCCTTTAACCCTTCTAGGTTCTTGGCTTTGATGTCCCACCCCAGCTGGGGTGCCAGACAACACTAAACGGGAGGCTCTGAGCCCCTGCGCTGCTCCCGGCGGCCAGTAGGTGGCGCGCAAACCTGCCCTTTCTGGGGGGAGAGGGGCGCGTGAGCTTTCCACCATGGTTGGGGCGGGGGGAGGACGGGGGAGACACGCGCACTGACGGCTATGGGCTGGGGAGGGGCTGCGCCCCGCCTCCTGGAGGCTCCTCTCTGGCAGGGAACGCAGAGCCTCGCTCCTGAGTGTCCCCGCGTGGGCCACTCTCCGCCTTCGCAGTGCCGCTTTAGGGACACTCGGTGCAGGCGCTCAAAGGACAGCCACCGCGGGAGTCTGCGAGGCCAAAGTGGAACTTCCGGGGCAGTCGGAGCAGGTCCAGATGGACCCCAGCCTCCGCCCAGAGGCAACTTTGCCTGAACACGCATTCCTTGCTAGTACACTTTTTCTTTTTAATCCCCTCCTTTGGCCTTTAAAAACCTTTTCCTATTTCACTCAGAGGAGCTTCCTCTCCTTGCCGGATGCAATGTCCCCCCACCCACAAACCGTTTAATAAAGCCAATTAGATTTTCAAATTGACGGGGTTGAATGCAGGTTTTTTAGCACACCAAGGGGAAATGGGGCCCCTATGTACATGCTTCTACTGGCTTTTAATGTTTCATTTCCTTATAACTCTATATAAAGTAGCTGAAAAAACAGATGTACTAACATATTTGAAATTCCAAAATTTTATTTACACCCCAAAC